ACCAAGTCATTGTACTCAGCATGACTTTTGTATTTCACATAAGTAGAACATACTTCACAAACCCACTGCACACTTAAAAATTTTTAGTAAATAAAATTTATAAGAAAAGCTTTTTAATATTATAATGTTGGCTAACACTGGTTTTCCGACATGACATCAACGTTAAGTGTGAGGAATAGATGATGATCAGTAAGAGTAGGGTTTTCCTAAAACGTCCCACATGATATCTATACCAATAACCTCTGGACCCATTCTCAATATCAAGGAACTTACACTACAGCACTGACTCTTAGCCATGAGTTTCTTTTAGAAGAAGAGGAAGTAGAAGGCAGCAGCTTTTTCAGTGGACACTCAGCAGTGTCTTGTATTTCAGTTTATTTTTTTTTCTACCTCCCCCTCTGATTTATTAGGACTTATTCTCTACTTTGAGATGGTATTCAGCCATAAATTTGTGATATATTCCTAATTTTAAAGCAACTAGTCAATAATATTTACTTCTAGTTTTCTTCCTAAATAAGAAAAACCTATTTCTTTCCAAGTTGTTCAAATATTGTTAATTTTTTCTGCATTAAAAAAAAAACCTAAAAAAAAGGTGCACATTAAACTTTTTATCCTTTTCTTTCTTTGTCCATTTGTTAACGCTTAATGCAGGTAGCTAAACTATACATCCACAGCCTCATGCACTTTGTTCTTGAAAATTCTCTAACATTTAAACTCAGTTTCTATTCCTGGGGTGAGTAGCATTCTATCTAAGTTATAAACTAAACTCTTGGTTTTTTTTTTGTTTTTTTTTTTTTTTTTTGAGAAAATGTCTCACTGTTACTTACTGGCCTCTACCTTACAGAGCTCTCTCCGCCCACTTCTGCCCCCTGGGTGCTGGTGTTGAAGGCACGCACTACCACTCCTGTTCCACTTGCATCTTGAGTTGGAGTCTCTGCTTTCTGGAGATCTCAGGGTCGGATGTTTTTACTTCTTACGGCTTTGAATGTCTTGTAAAGGCCTCTGAAGGTGCAGCCTTTTCATATAATAATCACCACCAAATTGAGAGCCGTTTTATAGAGAGTCCCTTCAGGGGAAAGACAGCCAGCCAGCGGAAATCCAGCTTCTTCCACTAACTAAAGGAAGAACCCATACTGTCACAGCGATAGAGTGGAGCAGTGCTTCCTGCTGTCATGAAGTAGACGTTTCTGTTAAAAGGCCACTGAGGAAACGGGGACTGCAGATAACTGAGGCCGCAGTCCCAGCTCACATGGCAGGCTGGGCTTTTTCCTGTCGTCTTTAGAGACAAGCAGTTCATGGTGCCTAAATCATTCAGTATACACCTAATATATCCAGATTAATTACTGAAAATGGACTCTACTGAACTGTTTTATTCTCAAGAAAATCAATGTCAAGGTGTTTAAGTCTAAAACATGTCTTTTGTACAAATGTCATTATTACTTATAACTCGCACAATAGCCAAAATTGGCCCACAATGTTAAAAATACTCATTGTCATAGGATGCTCTAAATTAGCATTTTTCAACTATAAGAGTTTTGTTTCATTCAACCGTTTATTTTATTTTATTTTATTTTATTTTATTTTATTTTATTTTATTTTATTTTATTTTATTTTATTTTATTTTATTTTATTTTATGTGTGTTGGTGTTTTACATGCATGCATATCTGTGTGAGGGTGTCAGGTCCCCTGGAACTGAGGTTACTAATGGTTGTGAACTCCCATGTTAACGCTGGGAATTGAACCCAGGCCCTCTAGACGAGCAGCCGGTGCTTTTACCCACTGAGCCATCTTTCCAGCCTAAGTATTTTTAATAACTGGTTCACTACAGGGGCACGTTAAGATGAACTCAAGAACAAACAAAAGTGGATTGATGTTAATTGACTCCAACTAATGAAGATAATCTTTCTAGGCAAATCATTAATAACAACAAAAAATGTAATACTGAAGAGGAGAGCTGCTCCCCCGCTGGTGCTTCCCATATGCTCAGCAAGTATTGTTTTATTCAATCACCACAGAGATGCTAGGAGATAGGCAGTGTTGCTTCTCCTTAGGAAGGTGGGAATATATAGAACTACTTCCCCATATAGCACCAATAATAGCCATGCGCCCTCACACTCACTCACAAACCTTTGCAGCTTGGATCCACACCCATATTCTCTTCCGGTCAGAGTAGAGCTTGCTGCAGTGTTAGAGTCAAGGTTGACTCCTGTGTCTAACACACACACTTGTACTACTAAAGGGTTCTAAATCCAATTTTACAGTGGTAGGCTAAAAGTGATTTTTGTTTGTTTGTTTACTTAATACTCATTTACCTCAGCTAAATTCTTATCACTTCTAAAAAGGCTAGGCATTTTCATCTTTCTAGCTTGTTCATCATAACTATCTCCACAAGACTGCTATCCTCAATGTTCTAACACATACTTAACATGGCAGAGGAACCACATGTGGTGGACACTGTGGCATCATGCAGCTCAACATATCAGTCAGGTCTGCCAGTCATCATTCACCATGTTTCCTTTGGCTGTTTGTATTTTTTTTCTCACCACTTTTAGTCACAGTCTAGTCAATATTTGGAAGGCCATTATGACAGAAGACAATAATGTACAACTGTAAAATTTTGAAGTGATTCCCTTATTACTATACAGATGATAATAATTCCACAAAAACTTAAGATTAAAACTCAGTCTTTTTATAAAATTCTTCCTAAGAAATGCTGCTCTTTCTATTTTACATTAATTTATAGCTTATATGAAAAAGTTATGAATTTTATTATACATACGCACACATATATATCACTATCCTTTCTGTTTTAATTTATCCTCTTCTCCCATACAATTTCCCAACTCAGGTGGTTTTGTTTTTGTTAGAGTATCTGGGCTAGTTCTGTTAAGAGGATGTTGGATCCCTGACCTTACAGTTTGTCAACTGGGTTTTCTCACATATCAACGTGGAGCCAACATTTGAGCTTGGCATGCAAAATCTTTTACTTTCACAAATGAGGAAACCAAGAAATGAATAATGACAGTGCATCCTTCATATCAAATTTCTCATATTATTCCCATCGTTGGTCCTCTTCAATTTTTTTGTGCAATATTTCTGTTTCCACACCACTATGTACCAACGCATCAGAATGCCAATACTCATTTGACTAAAGGTGTGTGACAGTTGTGTCAAGCCTTGCTTTGTAGACCTGGCTGGCCTGGAACTCACAGAGGTGGCCTGTCTCTGCCTCTCTGAGTGCTGGGATTACAGGTATGCAGTACTGCGCCTGGCTCCACTAATATTTTGATGTTGTTTCCATCTAAAGATGAATGACATCATATCTAAAGTTTCTGGAGCTTTGACTATGTACTTCACACAGCCTTCACTGAAGATATGGGAATAAGTGGGGAATCAGTCTTTCTTTCCTTACTTTCATTCGTTCTCTCTCCTACTCAAAACTCCATTTTGTTATTTTAGTACCTTATTTTAAGAAGTTAGAAAAAGAAGAAATCGATGACTTAGACTGGTTTTAGTATTTCCCTTCTGTTTCTGTGGCATTCATTCTTGTTCTCTGTTTGACACTGTACCTGATTCTCCAAATCACTGAACTGAAGTCGATTTACATGTTAAGCCTCATGCGGTGGCTGTGGCTGGGGACACAGTCAGCTGACACAGTTGCAGCTGGAGCTGTACTGTAGTAAAGTAAAGAAGCCTTAGTTAATTAGAGACTATTCAAGCCTCCCCTAGGTTCTGTGACAGTTTTCTATTCGACAACTAAAACTAAACTTTTCTTATTGGGAATTGGAATATTTTTTGTTTCAGACTTTTCTATGATCAGTTATGCTTTTAGTAAGCATTTCTGATGAGTTTTTTTTTTTTTTTTTAGTTTAAAAGTGACATTTTTATAACCAAATAATAAGACATAATTGTGGTGTCTGTTCAAACAAAATGAGAGCACAAATTTTAATCGTTCAAATACAAATATATTTAATATTCATATCTTCTCCAAACAAATTCTGTTGTTATCTTTGGACTAAATATTACTATTGTATAATGAGTAGATATAAGAAATTAGAATATTTAGATTAAGTAAATAGAGAGATAATACAACTTGAATTATACAATTCTAGCTTTAAGAATTAGAACAAGATTGCTATTTTTTATCAAATATTATTTTGTCTTATTAGAATAACAACTTTTTCAAGACTTTTCTGTATGCAAAATTTTGTTAGATTATCGATTTTATTTGATGTTGAAAATGACATTGCATTATCTGCCCCAGTTTTGATTAGGAAGGTAGAGCAAACAACAGGTGTTCCTCTCACTGGCTCAGAAATGCAATTGTGTCTATCTGCATTGCTGAACTGCCCAAGCCTAGTCACAGAACAGCTTCATGGTGTAATAGTGTCATGTAATTTAGCAATAGCTACACAAAGAAGGTTTCTTATTGGCTTATCTGATGAAAAATGCTGGCTGATGGAAACTTGTTTATTTACACACGTCTTAAGAATCTGGTCAGTAAACTTGGTCTCTTTCTACAGTATCAATTATTGATTACCAAGAAACATTAAGTTGGAGGTTCCATTTGACATCTGCCTTTATTTGGAGGTGAACAAAGAATCATAATTTATACATTTTCTCCTCACTAATTCAATTTGATGTAAGAATCAGGAGGAGTGTACACAATATAGTCAAAATACTAACTACATAGTTTTCCGTGTGATATGCTTAATTATCTTACCTATATATGTACAATCAAATATAGACCTATTAATATTAACTAACTGAATACATTGTTTTTATAGTGCGAGTTCACTGGACCCATGGTGTTTGGGACCCTGGGTGGCTGGAGTTTGGGAAAGCGTAGGGTTTGGGTTGGCTCTTATGAATGGCAGACTGAAAAGCAGCTTATCTCTGTGAGGGCCACAGGAGGGTCATTGGCAAGCCTATCACCTGTAAATGCTTTACAGGTTTTTTTTTGTTTTTATTGTTAAGTTGTCTTTGTCTTGTCTTCCAGTTCTGCACAAGCAGCCCCGAGAAGTGTGTCTCTGTTTGCTAGAACTTGGTCGGATTGCAGCCAGGTAGGTAAGACCTCTGCTCTCCTGTTACAGCGCAGACACATCTCAGCCTCAGGAAACAGAAACATACTGTCTTCTCCTTGTTGACCTTCAAACTGGATGCTAAAAGACCGGTTAGCAAATGAATTGCTTAGATTATCTTGCAAGCCATAGTTAAAATTAAAAGTACGTCTCTAGTATTCTCAACACCCCAGTCGTTTGGTCAGGACAGACTGTCCAAGCCTTTACTGATACCCTTTAATTAAATAAATTTTCTTCCAAGTCTTAATGGAGCATGAAGGGTAATCCTTTATACCTTTAAAGTTTATGTATTTATTTTTACCTTTGTATTTATACCTTTGGCTGCTTGTCTGTGTACCATGTGCATGTAGATACTGAGATCACATGAGCCAGTAAAATAGAGTGAGAATTAGTACTGGTTGAGCTTACATGGAGAATTTATGTAGAAAATTAGGAGAAAGAAGACACCAACTTTGTACATTGTGAAATTGTAGCCCAGCAACAAACACTGCCAGTGAAAGTACTTTTTTTTTGATTAATAGAAGCAATTCCAAATTCTTTAAATCACCACAACCAATAAAATTTTAGTGAACTATGAAATAGATAGGATTTTTTTTTACTTTACCTCAATAGTTACAGCAAAAACATTGCTTCAGTGTTTTAATTAAAAATAATATGTAAGAAGGAATGAAAATGAGACATTTAAAGATTTCTTTAGCCCCACACTACTTCCAGATAACTGTTTAAAGGATTTGGGTCATACCCCTTGCCCTTGATCATTCAGGGTTTTACCTTTTAGGTACAGTTCAGTCCATCTCTTAGCCAGACATAATGCCAGGCCTTTTTAGTTCTGCCATATCCTTGAGTTGGGTGTTAGAGAGAGTAGGAAAAAGGTGTTGATGCTTCCAGAGATCAGCCTCTTCCATCAGCTTTGGAGCTTCTGCTCAAGTCAGATTCAATATCCATCATATAGAAGCAACAGAAACTAAGAAAAAAAATGTATAATCAGTCAGCAGCTACCTCAGAGATACCCAACTAGAAGAAACGTAGAGTGTTTAGAAGTTCTACTAAGAAAATACTGTGTGATATAATTATATGGATAAATATGAGAAAAATGCCAGATTCTACTTTGCCCTTAAATAATACAACTGGGTCCATTGGATGGTCAGATTTTGAGATCTGAGAGTGACAGCAAGAATACTGACTTCAAAGTAGCCGGGGTTTTACATTTCTCCTCTAGCTGATAGTTATTTTCCTGCTTTCAAAATTTTATATCACAACTATTTTTCATCACAATAACACTTTAATTCAGAAAGAATAGTTATGGCTACTGTATCAAAGGTGAAGCTTGACTATCAGCATTGGATCTGACATCAATTACCTTTGACATAGCCATGATAAAATTAATACAGATCTTGGTTAACAAGGAGATTAGCAACATGTTTCTCCATTCAGTGTGAAATGTCTTATGAAGAGTTTTCCCCTTACTACAAGTGATTAACTACTTAGTCCATCAATTAGTTTATTTTAAAGCAGGGTCCTCTGTAGGCCAGGATGGCCTTACACTCTTTGTGTAGTAGAGAATGACCCTGGTATCCCACCTCTGCCTTCCCAGGCATGCACTTATACATGAGGAGCAGAGGGTGCTGGAGACCATTCCAGGACTTTGGCGTGTTCAGTAAACACTATGTACTGAGGCACATCTGAAAACCAGCACAGATATTCTAGGTGGTAGTTATTCTGTATTGCTCTGTACAAATCCACATTTTATGACCATGTTAGGATAGATACTACAACTAATTAAAAAAAAAAACCCACAATGGAGGTCAGTATCTCATGGTGGAGTGGAGATTAAGATCACCCCAAAAATGAAATATTGAACTTTAGATTAACTTTCTGTCATCTTCAGCTGAGTGGGTCTCGTGAAGCACTATATACTGTTCAGCACAAAAGAAAATGAGGTAGTGCATTCATCTTGCTGTTACTTTAAACAGTTGAAAGGATGCCAGTCAGATAAATTGTTATTCAGCTAAAAAAAAAAAAAAAAGTCTATTTGTTTCTTTATGAACAGAGCTGAGCTATTTGTTTGAGTTTATTGGGAGCTCCTGAAATAGGACAGCATGAAGGAAGGACTCCCCTATCTGGTCTCTTTCACATCTGAACTCGGCCTGAGGTTTAGATCTGGATTTAGATGCTTGAAGTCACTCCCTCCTCCCCTGTGTCCGCAGCCAGAGATCTCACAGATTAATGCATTTGAACAACTCCAACACAAACTAGGAGTGATTTTCAGAGCACACTCAGAAACCACATTCATCTTATCCCATAAAGATGAGTTTTATCTTATCAGAGTTCCTGAAGTCTCTTCAGTTCTTTCCATTGATAGGGGTGCCTTATGTTCCACTCTAAATGGTACATCCAGATTTCTCAAGTGTGCTCCTAAGAGCACCAACATCACTTCAGAAGTGACTCTGGGAGTGTTTCTGAGCTTCTGCTACAGTCTTCTCTCTGGGGACACTCAGCAGAACTCCCTCAAGAATGGGAGCCAATCTGGGCTCTGAGATGGTGACAATACTTTTGTTTACATTGTAAAATTTCTTTGCTTTTTTAGCTAAACATTGTTGGAAGGTAAAAATCTCCTTGTTTCTTAATAAAAAAAATTACCTTTGGTACATTAGCCATAATTAGAAATATTATTTCTGAATTAAAATTTAATGTGATGAAAAATAGCTGTGAAATAAAATTTTGAAAGTAGGAAAATAACTTTCAGCTAGATGAGGAATGTACAATTCCGGCTACTCTGAAGAAGCAGCCTTCCTGTAGTCAGTCTTCTCAGTTCTCAACACTTGGCCATCTAAGGAGTCCACTTGTACTGTTTGAGCACAAAGTAGAGTCTGGCAATTATACCACTACCAAAGCAACTCAACACAATCAACAGATTCTTTCGAGTAATACTTCTATATTAATTTCTGTAAAATTAAGAGGTAAATGACTGAGTTCATCATCTTTTCAGACTGCAGGATTAAGGTTATCTTCATGATAACACTGGAAGCTTCTGAAATGGTAGGTTGGTGGCAAGGATGTGTGTCAGCAGCATTTTGTCATTTTCTGACTTTGGATTTTGGTGTTCTATTGAGCCAGAACAAATTTATTACTTTTAAAAGGAAACATTTCAGAATAATTTCTTTAATCTCCTATTTCAGTCACGGACTAATGAACTGTTGCTTAAAAGAAAAGTGATCATGTGTTAAGAGTACTAATTGATTCACATGGAGGATCAACATGGGCTGCCAGGACTTTATGCATCCTTTCCCATGGCTGGGGCATTTTCCACATATAAAGTTAAGTTTACATTGTCTTAAAAGAGGAAAAATGGGGCAAAATTATCTGGCAAGAATCTATAAACCATCTGTTACATGCCTTAGAAAGAGGGAGTTTCATTAGTCTATAAAATTTGTCTCCTGACCTACTACAATGGAATACAGATGTCTTTTGTTGGAAAGTATAGACTACTAAATAGTTTGAATAGATTTTCTTGGTCAGGAATGAGTTTCGGGGTGCATTTCTTCCAGTTAGCTTAATCCCAAACACCATTCTGTGCCAGAAAAATGAGAGAGCCATTCCTATATTCTCCTCATACAGTTGCCAACCCTAAGACTGCTGATCTTGATACTTTTTACTGAGATGAAAATAACTGTCCAGCCCCTGAATATTTAAACAATATCCGTGCCTTTGGGCTCTGCAGGGGTTAGGACTTTGACTTAGTGACTTCAGCTTTCTTGATGACTGCAGTTGGATCCTTATTGAGGTTTAGAAAAGGAAGCCCCTTTTCCCCAAAGTTCTCACACCCTGTTCTTGGAAAGAAGGAAAAACATTAATTTGTTTTAGGAAAAGAGGGCATGTGAAGTTGTATAGCTCTCACTGATGCCAAGGTAGCCTTTTGAAGAACAGAAAGTGCATTTGGTGACTAAGTTGGCTTGCAGGTACAAGTCTCCCTCCTTGGGGGTGGGGTCACAATTTACAGCCTACTTATACCTCCAGACCGACAGGAAGCCAATGAATCATATTCAAGTATGCATTCTGGTACCAGTTGACTCTACCTTGAGCAGCGTGAAGAATTCAAAAGTCAATGTAGGCAGAGATTCCAAGCTCAGAACTGACTTTCTGTGTCAGTGGCACAGCTAATTTTTAGCTTTCTCAGGTAAAGAAGTATCTCCAAGGAAACATTTTCCAGGTGTGATTCTGTTACCAGTTTCATTCAAAGCTGGCCTGTTTGTTTTATGCTGGCTGTGAGCCAAGCCTGTTGCTACTCTAATAGTATATTTGCTACTGCTCTATTTTTCAAGACAGAGCATACACACCTTGTTATTGGGAGGTAGCCTTCCTCCACCTGTGGTTGAAAATATAATATTTTCCAAGCTACCTAATTTATATTTTCAATTATGAGGTTTTCACTTATAACTGATATGGAGTTGCCTGTGATTGCAGTGTCTCAGATTCTTCCAGACTCAAAACCAGGTTTATATTATTCTCGTGAGAACATTCAACATAGGAAGGTATTATACCTTGATGGAGCTAAGCATCCAAAAAGTCTAAAGCAGCTATGAGGGTTGCCTTCCAAAGTCTGGCCTATTAGTAGGAGAGCTGAGGTGGTTGTGAGTCAGATGTGGTGTTCTCCACCATGATAGGAATCCATACTGTACCATGTGTCTGGTAATGATGCATTAAATGGTTTATAAGTACAAACAGTTAGAAGTATGAAATGTGGTGACTAGATCTTTATAGAAACTGTTTGTTCATTATGGAACAAAAGTGACTTAATAGATTAGAAGCTGTTGTGGCATTATAAGCTCTTTGTACTGAATTCTTACATAAGCTTTGCAGCTCTTAAAAGGCATACGATACAAAGAACCCTTCTCTACTATACAAATTCTGGAAAGAAAGAAAGAAAGAAAGAAAGAAAGAAAGAAAGAAAGAAAGAAAAAGAGTAGCAGATGAGATATCATGTGTTTCCTTTATGACTAAAAAGATCCAAGTCAGCAGGCATTCTGAGTGTCTATGACTGAACTGGAGAAAAAGGCCATCAGCATGGACAAAGAAACTTGGGGCCAGTGAAGGGGAAATTTCTCCCTAGAGGTGTAAACTGAGTCAAGCTTGATCAACTTAACCACGTTCTTTAATCTGGGGGGGGATGGGGAAGAGTGAGTAATGAGCCAAAAGGCCTGGAACTGAACCATCTGAATCCCTCTTTGGAATCAAGCATGATAATGAGGAAAACTCCCTAGAAATTTGCACCACACTGGTGTGCAGTGATGTCTGTTAAAGTATCAAGATACCACAGGAGGACATAAACAAGGTTTTACATTGGCTGCTGAATTGACACAGTATTCAAGTTATAAGAACAGTATCAGTACTTTTCTCTACTCATAGACCATATTGTATGTTATTCAATAACTCCTGTTTTGTTTCTCCTGTCTTCTCTGGAGACAGGATCCCTCCAATTAGTCTAGAATGCTCACATACTTACCATCTTGTTTCTGCCTCCAGAGTGCTGTAGTGTGTACTACCACACTTGGTTTACAACAAACTTTTAATTACCAAGTGGCTTTTTTTCTCCTTTATAACAAATAATCACTTGATCAAAAAATATAGGCAGCTGACAACAGCAAGTCTTTATTTGAAATTCTGTCCTGTGTAAATCTTGTGCAGACATTCATTTTGTTGTTGTTGTTGTTAATGAAAGTGTATGCCTAGTTTATTTCCTAAATGACTCACAGCTGTCAAGTTCCAGAATTATATTTGGTGTCATCCACTAAGCATAGATGACACAGCCCTATAAAACTTAGTACATCTTTAAGTGTTGATTAAGAAAGACCTGATTGTGGGAGATATGATAAGACACTGTTACATTCTCTCTTGCCTATCTCCCAACTTCTCCTTTTCTTGAACATGTAACGTTTACAGGTTTTTTTTATACATTGTTGTTCTGAACTATTCTTGTTTCCTTTCCTAGTAATGTTTTTGCCTTTACTGTGATTTTCCTAAGGGTTTAGCTTGTAATATTGTATAACCATGTGCATTGCTCTCACTGCCTAGGAAAAGAACAGCTCACAGTGAATCTTTTCTCTGTAAAATCAGTTGCTTTTTTTAATTTTAGGGTTCTGCTATTTTGATTTGACATTTTAATGTCTGTCATTACCAATCTTATCTTCTAAATAAGGCTTTAACTATATTACTGATATTGTCAATTCTGTTAAAAAAAAGTTAAAGAAAAATTCTCTGTGGGTATTCATGTTGTTGAGACAGTAATATATCAAATTGAGTATCTTTACATCATATACCTCCATGAATGTACTTATACATACACAGCAAGTACATATGTTTTTAACCTGCTCCAAGGATATTAATTCACAAAACTCCATTTCAGTGTGGGAGAGTCTGTACCATTTTAAAAAGGTAGTTAGTTGTGGCACTCACAATCCAGAATCCTGTACAGCTACTGCATTGTTATGTGTGCATGCATAACAGTCTCATGATTTTGAAAGGTATGGTGTGGAGCCTCCTGGTCTGATAAAGCTGGAAAAAGAAATTGAACAAGAAGAGACACTCTCTGCCCCATCTCCTTCGCCTTCTCCTTCATCAAAGTCTTCAGGAAAGAAGAGTACTGGGAACCTACTGGACGATGCAGTGAGTGAAGTTTGCATGTCTTCTTTCTCCCCCAACTATAAAACTTACCCTGACTTCTCAGAGCATTCTGACCTTACTGCATTTCAGCACCTTTGAATTCAGTTTAACCTAAATGAGAAAATTTGTGCTCCTTCAGCTCATCTTGAAACTCAAAACTGAACCAATGATTTAAAATAAAGTGCTACTTAATTCCATTGAGCTGTACCTGAAAATCTAGGAAATGAGTCAACTCCTTGAAAACAGTTTTTTGAAAACACTTAACCTCCTTATTGTTAGTTCCAAATTCCTCCTTTCATAGATATGAATATTGAAGAGTGTTGAGAAAGGGGACAAAACATCTGGTGGAAAAGGTGATTATACTTCATTAATTGCCTGGTATTGGCCAGAGTTGGGTTTTCTTTTTCCTTCCTTCCTTCCTTCCTTCCTTCCTTCCTTCCTTCCTTCCTTCCTTCCTTCCTTCCTTCCTTCCTTCCTTTCTTTCTTTCTTTCTTTCTTTCTTTCTTTCTTTCTTTCTTTCTTTCTTTCTTTCTTTCTTATTTTTTTTTCCTGAGAGCTCTTTTATCTGAAAGGAAGGTTGCTAGGAAGGAAAGTGGAAATTGGAAGTTTTGTGATGCTAAGAGGAGGGGGGATTAGGTTCCAGCCTGTGTTTATCCAACTCTAGGGTCTGTCTACTCTGCCATTCTGTAGGCACAGGCTTTGGTGATTAGAACACACTTTCATGACACCATCATTATAAGGATAAGCAGTTTTTAGGTATATTAAACAATCCTTGCTTATGGGGTTGGCATGTTGGACAATTATTCCCATGTGCTATCATTCTCATATCTTAAATGCTGAAGACATTAGTGAACAAGAAAAACCATGAGTTGTCTTTATGTCACTCATGCAAAGTTTGCATTTATAGGTTAAAATTGCCTGCAAGCTTATAGGACATGACGGTGCTAGAGGCATAAGACCGAAGTATGTCCTGCCAAAGTGAGCAAAGTCCTTTGAAGACTGGCAGCTGTCTTGATGTATTTGTTGATAGGACACAGGGCTACCATGACTGCAGGCCTTCCTCTCTAGGGTTTAAGCTGAGAAACAGTGGGAGAGAGGGTGGTGAGTACTTTCAGATGCAAAAAAGACACACAACCCTCTTTGCTTTAATCCACACAACAAATTTTAAAAAGCAGAAACTTAACAACTGCCTGAGCAGCTGTGAATTCCTATGAAGGCGGCAAACTTAAGCCTGTCCCACCAAAGTTTCTTATACAATACATTTTAATATGCTTTCTTTTTGATAGCCACTTGCTCCACTCAGAATGTACAAATACTCAGGGAGCTTCCATACTTCAAGAAAATGTCTTGGAATCCTTTTATGATTAATCACATGCTTTGCTGTTCATAAAGCTTAATTTTCAAAGTTTGTACAGTAATGGGGTTATATTGTATTATAACAAAGGCATAGGTTGAAAGTAATTTTTCATGGTGTTTATGCTGTTTTCTTAGACTTAGCTTGAGTTCGGTCTTTTCCAAAATGTGTCTTTTTGGGCTGCTATACCATTCTTAGTCCTCCTCTGTGTTGAGACATTTACTTACATGCTTTAGACCCTATAATATGGTGCCAGGCTTGAAAAGTGTGGCCAGTGTTACATTTACTTTCTAATTACTCAACCAAGAGAACCTCACAGTTCTCATTACGAGGTCCATGCCTGTAATGGACCATACAGGTCCATTATAACCATAGCTTTGTTTCATCACTATATTCTTGAAATTCCTCTGTGAAAGCATTACTTGTAACCAGCATGCTCTGACAGAATGCAAACTGGAGTCAGGCAGAATTAATAGGATCCTCCAGGACATATGTGAGCCCTACTGATACCACACATATCTCCTTGCTCTATCCCAGTGTATTTTCTAACTCTTGTCCTTTGGACCACTTCTTTTATGTTGAGGTAGTTGTTCTTAGTTCCTCAACATACTTCTTGATACTTTTCTTTTAAATGCATATTTTAAATATGTTCTAACCATTTTAATATTTAGTATGTTCTAACCATTTTAATATTTATAGAGCATATGTGCATTTGTCCTTGTGGGGGTTTTTGTAATGTTCACGTGTGTATTCATGCACACAGAGGCTAGAGGGCTATACTGGTATTGCTTATTTTTTGCCTTTTTCTTTTCTTTTCTTTTTTTAAAATATATACACAGGGCCTCTCACTAAAACTATAGCTCACTATTTTAGGCCAAATAGCTGGCCAGAGAGCTACAAGGATCCTCCTGTCTGCATTCCCCCAAAGCTGGGATAACAGACATGTGCTGGCCTTCTTTGACATGGCTATTGAGTATGCTCACATTAAGTTTTTCATGGCATTTATCATCCTAGATATATGTTATAGATTACTTATTGTTGTCTAAATTATTTGTCAGTATGAAGCAGTTGTGAATGAGGCCTCAATGCATGTTCCTCTTAAGGCGCAGTCTAATCTTCAGTCAAGTGGTCCTTTATCAGTCTGCATCTACCCAGCCTCCGCTATGCTCAGTGTGAGATGTCCCCTCTTTGTCCTCTGTATTTGATCATTTCTTCTCAAACATGTGCTGTTTGTGTCTGCTGTTGTGTTGTAGATGGAAGACGTGTTGCCATTTGAGCCCATGTACCAGAAGTAGAAAGAAGGAGTAAGAATGCTCCCATTTCTTCAGTAGCCTGTCTCATGGCCAGTCATTCTTCATCTTTGGGAAGGGGCTAAATATAAAGAGAACCCCAAGGTGTAGAATAACTCTGAGAGGGATTAGAGGTTGTTTTATGAATGTACTAATTCAGAACAACAAAAACAGTCACATAGAGAGACTCAAGACAGCGAGACCCTCAAGGTGTGGCTGTAAGGTCTGTTCTTTCAGCCCAAAGCTATGTGGGCACTTATGCGAATATAATTATTGGGTTAATGGAACAATGTGCATCAGTAGACTTATTTAACATGCAAAGTGGACACATCTGCCCCTCACCAGTGAGAACTCTTGTTTCTTGTAAATCTTAAGTCTATCATTTTTCAAGAAATGCTTAAAGATAACACTCTCCCCACAATGCCTGTGGGGAAGGATTAGGTTAGAGTGAGAAATGCAAAGTATTGCTTTCTCTGCCTGGCATTCAGAAAACTTGCCAACATCACACAGCTCTCTGGAGCTCCCTCAGAGAGCTAGTTGACCTGGAATTTCTCAAATATACTGGAACATAGACCTTTCTTACAGTTTCTGTCATTCTTCAATCTTGTAAACTGCATTAAATTTTTAGTGGTTTTTCACTGAAGTATTTTATCTCAGGGACAGTGGGACAGAAAGAAAAGAAATTTGAATCTCATTAGTGGTTTAAATCAGACCCCATGTATCTAAGGTAAAAAGAAAATAATTACCATTACAACCACTCTGCCACATACTACGTACACACAGCCATTTGGAACTGAACTCCATGTATTCCAATAAATATACTGGAAAAAAAAAAAACGATTAAAAAAAAGTGATCCTCTAAGTTCTTGTGTGTAATTAGCACTAGGTTTTTTTGTACAAAGTTATTGTATGCCAAGCTCAAAAGGAAAGAGAGATGAGGGTATTGAAGAGTAAAGGAAGGAAGCAAAGGAAACAGAAACAGAGAAGACTGAGAAAGAAAGGGAAGCCCGTGCCAAGATGATCATATTCCAGTGGACAACTTCAGAAAGCACCAGGACTGAAGCCACCTTTGTTTGTGCAAAAGTTTCTTGTCTGATTCTTAGGGGAACCACAGGGAAAGAGATGACCTTTTATGTGGACAAAAAACTCCCCCTTTCCTTAATCAAGATCTCACAGAGGAAACATAGTGGTGTCCGTTTGGAATGCTTTATTCCCTATGTCCTGGTGGAGCGATCCAGCCATGATAGGCAGTGAGGTCGCCCTGAGTGCTCCTCTCGGTGTTCTGTTGTATTGAGCTTGCGCTCACAGGGAGTTGAATGCAGTCCTAAGAAATGGTTCACACTGTCTCCCTTCTTCATCAACTTCCTCAGTCTGAGGATGAGAGATATTATAATTCTGAATAACCAGGCCCCTCTTGAAATCTCATTTCAGCCCCAAACCGGCTCAGTTCCTGGCCAAGAACAGAGCACCTGGCAGACAGAATTACCTCATGGTAATGTAAGAAGCAGGGTTGTCATCATTCACCATTAACTCAACAATGTGTTTCCACTGGCCCCTGTCTGGCCTTTTCTCTTCTATTTTTGCTTCTGCCCTTGACACAAATGAAACAAACAAACAAACAAAAGCCCTTGATTTAAAAAACAACCAAACAAAAAGACAAAAAGCAAGTATATTTTTGTAGTGAGGAAGGCATGAAGAAAGTGCTGACCACTTGAGAAAATTATTCTCATATTTATTTGACAAAAACAGTATCTGTACTTTTTTTTCCTGAGGATCCTGCAAGATGGAAATGTTGCCCACACAAACTCAGTGTTGTTTTTTCTCAGTAGAGAATTTGCTCAGTAAGTTGTGATTCCTTGGGCAGTGAGTTTGCTGTTCTCTGGGCTCCTAGGTGACAAAGGTCTGATCCTTGTCTTCTAGCCCCTTTATGTCATCCTTACTCTTCTCCCCAAAACCCTTATAGTAATAGTAAGGATGCTATATGTGTATGTGACATTTTACAAACATTTGTAGGAAGAGATATGCACAGAAAAACACTGAAAACAGTGTGCAGGTTCATTACAGGCTGTATGACCTCATGGCTAGCTCAGAATGCAAGTGTGTTTTGTAAGGGATACCATCACTCTTTACCATCGTTATGCCACTTGCTTTAACATTACCATAACAAAGAAGCTCCGATTTCAAA